GGAGCCCGGCTCTAGGGCACGTGGCTTCAATTGCGGCTCACGGGCTCCAGAGCACAGGTTCAGTGGCTGCGGTACTCAGGCTGAGCTGCTCCTCAGCACGCGGGATCTTCCTGGGTCAGGGGTCCACGAACAGTTTCAAACGGTCTCCTGCATTGGCAGGCAGACGCTTTACCACCGAGCCACCAGGGAAGTCCCTCCCTTGGGGTGTGACTGATGCTTTGCTCATGACTAGCCTGGGGTCCGGGTCTGGGGGAGGAAAACCACGGAAGTAAAATGCCAGTCTCCTCGCCTCCCATCCAGGCTGCAGCCTATCAACACGACTGTTGATGCTGACCTTGAATTCCCGGCGGAGGCAGGGCTTGTCAGGTTTCTTGACTACAAACTTACCCTTTTCTTTCACTTTCATACTGTTCCTTTTAGAAGGATGTCATCGCGCTGAACCCACTCTTAAGGAGTAGGGAGTTATGCCCCACCCTTGAGGCTATCTAGATAATTCAATTACCTAGAATTCTTCTGCACGCAGAATTTGCTCCTTCTCTCTCATCTATATGTTACTTTATTCGATCAATTATTCATACTGGAATCACAGCCATTTATTTCTTATCTGGGTTATGGTCCAATACTACTTTATTCTGTTGCTCTAATTACAGCCCTGGGCTTCTCAGGCAGCGCGCATTAAAGAATACACTTGCCAATGCAGGAGATATGGGTTCACTCCCTGGGTTGGAGAGATCCCCTGGAGGAAGGCATGGCAACCCACTGCAGTATTCTGGCCTGGAGAATCCCGTGGGCAGAGGAGCCTGGTGGGCTAGAATCCATGGGGTGGCAAAGAGTCAAACAGGACTGAGCAACTATGTATAATTATGGCCTTGCCCTTTTCTTTTTGCAACATTTTATTAAGAAAAGTTTCAAATAAACAAAAAAGTTGAAAGAATGTTACAGTGAAAAAAAAACCCACAAATAATCTAATTATAAAATGAGCAAAGGACCTGGACAAGTTTCCAAAGAACCCTATACAGTGTTATATTTCAATAATATCTCAATAAAGATGAAACATTAAAGAATGTTAAACTGAATAGATAGATACCCACGACCTAGATGCTACCATGAGTATTTTGCTTTATTACCTGTCTATCCCCCTGTCAATCCACCTTATTTATTTTTTTACCCATTTCTGATCCATTTCAGGCTTCCCTGGTGGCTCAGAGGGTAAAGAATCTGCCTGCAATGCAGGAGACCTGGGTTCGATCCCTGGATCGGGAAGATCCTCTGAAGAAGGAAATGGAAACCCACTCCAGTATTCTTGCCTGGAGAATCCCACGGACAGAGGAGCCTGGCAGCCATGGAGTCGCAGAGAGTCAGACACGACGGAGTGACTAACATGCACACTGATCCATTTCAAAGGAAACTGTAGACACCTCTAAACTTGCCCCCATACTGAAGCGTGCGTATCATTAAATGGTTCTTTTTTTTCCCCCCTTGGGGTAAAATTTGCAGTGAAATGCAAAATTTGCCCAAATCTCAAGTGCATTGCAAAAGAGAAGCAACCCTTGTGCAACTCAAAACCTTACCAAGGTATGGAGCGATGGCGTCATTCTCAGAACCCATTCGCCCTCCCACCAGGCAGCCCTGGCCCTGCCATTCTGATGGCTGTTGCCCCCAAAGGCTAAGTCTGCCTGTTCTTGAGCATCACCTAGATGGACTCGTAACCATATGTACTCACAATCAATCCATGAAACAGAAGGTTCTCCCAGAGTGTAAGTCACAGGGAGCTCAGGCTACACTCTTTAGCCAGGACCTGCCCTTGTCTTTCATCAAGAGAGACTGATCAGGAGGCCTTCCTGGAGGAGGTGGCGGTGCTGCCTCCCCAGCTTCCTGCCTGCCTCTCGGGACTGCTCCTTCTCAGCCTCTTTGCGGGCCCATTTCCCTCTGCTTGCCCCTTCCACAGCGATGCTGCTCAGTGTCTGGCTAGACCAGAGCTTACAAAAACCAGCCAGCTCCAACCCACGGACAGGTTTTATTTGGCCCACACAGTATTTTTTTGTATTTGAATTAGCTTTAACATTTAAAAGCTGAGGGATTTTGCTTTTAAAAATATCCGCATTTCTGTCGTCTCTTGAAAATTTGGAACATCTGGCGATGCAGTGTCCCGCTCCCCACACGGCAAGAATTGGCTGGGACAAAGTAGCAATGACCTATGCTCTGAGCCCTCCCCCCATGGCTGGGGTGGGGGGCAGTCCTCATGCACCCAAGACCTGAATTAGACACCTGTAGAGTCTGAGATGGTACTGGGATGCTTTTTCAGCCTAGGAATGCTTGGGGACCACCCTGGAATAACCATAGTCTTCTGCAGGAGAAGCAGACCTGGAGAGCAATGGCAGAAGGTCAAGGAGAACAAGTCTCTATCAGAGGGCATCTCAGATTGCCCATTCATCAACATGATCACCATCCTCACCTTCATCACCACCATCTTCATCATCACCTTCATCATTGTCCTATCACCTTCATTCTCACGTTCATCATCATCACCATCACCATCACCATCTTCATCATCACCATCTTCACTATCACCATCTTCATCATTATCCTCACCATCACCTTCATCCTCAGCTTCATCATCACCACCACCTTCACCATCACCATCTTCATCATTATCCTCACCATCACCTTCATCCTCAGCTTCATCATCATGACCATTATCACCTTCACCATCACATCTTCAACATCACCACCTTCACCATCACCGTCTTCATCATCACATCTTCACTATCACCATCTTCATCATTATCCTCACCATCACCTTCATCCTCGGCTTCATCATCACCACCTTCATCATCATCACCACCTTCACCATCACCATCTTCATCATCACCATCTTCACCATCACCATCTTCATCATTATCCTCACCATCACCTTCATCCTCGGCTTCATCATCACCACCTTCATCATCATCACCACCTTCACCATCACCAGCTTCATCATCACCATCTTCACCATCACCATCTTCATCATTATCCTCACCATCACCTTCATCCTCGGCTTCATCATCACCACCTTCATCATCATCACCACCTTCACCATCACCAGCTTCATCATCACCATCTTCACCATCACCATCTTCATCATTATCCTCACCATCACCTTCATCCTCGGCTTCATCATCACCACCTTCATCATCATCACCACCTTCACCATCACCAGCTTCATCATCACCATCTTCACCATCACCATCTTCATCATTATCCTCACCATCACCTTCATCCTCGGCTTCATCATCACCACCTTCATCATCATCACCACCTTCACCATCACCAGCTTCATCATCACCATCTTCACCATCACCATCTTCATCATTATCCTCACCATCACCTTCATCCTCGGCTTCATCATCACCACCTTCATCATCATCACCACCTTCACCATCACCAGCTTCATCATCACCATCTTCACCATCACCATCTTCATCATTATCCTCACCATCACCTTCATCCTCGGCTTCATCATCACCACCTTCATCATCATCACCACCTTCACCATCACCAGCTTCATCATCACCATCTTCACCATCACCATCTTCATCATTATCCTCACCATCACCTTCATCCTCGGCTTCATCATCACCACCTTCATCATCATCACCACCTTCACCATCACCAGCTTCATCCTCACCCTCACCATCATCAGCAGTCACTATTATTACCATCCTCCTCACCCTCACCATCCTCGTTGCAGCATCACCATGGGCAACCCCACAATCATCACCATTGTCATTACCATCCTGACCCCCCCAACCACCACCATCACCACCGCCGTTATTTTCCTCCCTGGTCATGAGATGGGTAACCGCCCCCCCCCACCCAGGCCTTTCTCACCAATCTGAAGCAAAATATTGGGGCCATATGGGTGGAGCACCACCTCCCCTTTCTCCACCCTCCCCACCCCAGCCCAGCCCATCTCCCCACTTCAAGAGAGGCCGTGTATGGGGACCCAGGTAGCAAAACCCAACTAGCCCAGCTAAGATGTGGGGGAACCCCTAGGACACTTTCCTGGGAACTTAACTTCAGCAGTGACTGGCTGGGTGGTGGTGTTGAGGTGGCCGGTTCATCTCTGCTTCTGCCCTGTATCAGTGTGACATCGGTGGTTTCCTGTTAAGACTCAGCAGACATAGTGGCTGGAAAAATACTCCATAAACTGTAAAATGAATAACAAAGGGCAGGGCGATCCTCACACACATGGAAGTAATGGTTAATCAGTTTAGAGAGGTTCCTTAACACATGGGAGGCATCCTTATAAAGACGGGAGGGGTCCCCAAATAGGTGAGCAGGGTTGTTTGAGTGGGAAGAATCCTTCTACACTTACACAGACATGTGGGTGCGCACTCCGGAGTGGTCTGTACACAGTCACGGGGGTGCGCACTCTGGAGTGGTCTGTACACATAGGGCGGTTTGTGTAAAGAAGCTGTGTCCTTATACAGACTTGAGTGGGAGAAGGCTGCAGGTGAGAATACGCTCATAGCAGTGAGGAATTTTACTGATGCAATTGACCATTCTTGGTAGCTGATTTGTAAAATGCTGTGCAAATACTGGCGACCCAGATACGAAGGTTCTTCCTGAAGATAAAGGGATCGTGGAGCTGTAGGGTGATACCACGCGCGGCCCTCTGCTGGGTGTCGCTGTTCAGCCCAGCCCTGCCGGGCGCCTCCGGGAGCGAAGCGGTGCCGGAGCGCGGGCCGCAGGTGGCGGTGGCCCCCGAGGGCGAGGGGCGCGGGGAGCCGGGCTCGCGCTGCCGCAGTGCGCCCCGCGGCCGCCAGGGGCAGCACCGGCCCCGCCCGGCCGCGCCGCCCCCCTCCTCCCCCAATCTCCGCCCCCCACCCCCTCCCTCCCCCCGCGCGCTCCCCCGAGCCCGGAGCCCCGGCAGACCCCGCTCAGCCCGCGCCCCGCTCCGCAGCCCAGGCGCCCGCAGCCCCGGCGTCGGCCCCGCGGAGCCTTCCCCGGGGGCCATGGGGGCGCCCCCGGGCTACCGACCCTCGGCGTGGGTCCATTTGCTCCATCAGCTGCCCCGCGCCGACTTCCAGCTCCGGCCGGTGCCCAGCGCCTTCGCGCCCCACGAACGAGAATACCAGCAGGTGGGGGCGGTCAGGGGGGTCTGTGGGAGGGGGGTCGCCAGAGCTTCTGGGTCCCGAGGGAGAAGGGGCTGGGGGCCGATTCCTGTGTTCTCTGGGGGTGGGGGCCGGGCCCGGACTTTGGGGTACCCGAGGGAGCAGGAGGGTGGTTACCCGTAGCTGGAGGTTCCCCTGGGATGAGCGCAGGGAGCCAGACCCCTAGCTCCTTAAATAAGGTGGGGGCTGGGGCCTGGGCCCCAGGGTCCCAGAGGAGGGAGGGGACAGGGGACCGTGGATTCCCGGGTCTCAGAGAGGATGCCTGGGAAGGTCGTCATCAGAGGGGTAGGTCCACCGCGTCCTAAAGGATGACCCTTCCCTCCTGGGATCGGGGCAGTCCAGTTAAACACGTCCCAGTTCAGGCGGGACCCAGGAGACAGGCGCTGGCATGGTGGAGGGGAAGAGGCTGGGGGTTGCCGCGCTTCTGGGACCGAATCGAAACCTGAAATGGGGCAGGGGGTGTGAGGGGTCTTAGGGCCAGAGCTGGGAAAACCACTTGGAGATTCTGGGAGAGGAGACCTCCAGCTAGTCCCGGGACGGGAGGGGCGGTCTGGGGAGGAGGTTCGGTTTGGGGGCTGGAGGGAGACAGAAACGCGGCCAGAGGGTGGGGCCGGGTGGGAGCCTTCAGGAAACCGGGGTGCCTGGGGAAAGGGGCCCAGCCTGGGTCACGCTCCACTCGGAGCGAAAGAACGGGGTCCCCTGACCCAGTTTAATTCAAGTCCTTGACTTTGAGATTAATGAGCAAGGCTTGGCTGAGCTGGGGGCGGGGCGGGGGTGGGGAGGATGGTGGAGCCTCGAGGTGGGTCCCGGGCTCTGCCTGTGAGGTCTATTCCTCTCCGATCGGTCCCGGGAAGCTCCCGGGACAGGGGGCTGGGGCTTGGCCGGCTTCGGAGGAGGGGGGTCCCAGGAAAGCAGAGCGGGGATGAGTGCTGTGTTCTGAGCTATTTGGGTCATGGCTGGACTGAGCCGGCCGTAAGCAGCTCCTCCCCGCCCGCTCCCCGCCACCCTCTCCCCACCACGCGGCAACGGCCAGCCCCGCGCCCACGGCCTCCTGCTTGCCCAGCCCGGCCCACGGACACCTGCTCACGGCCAAACAGACCTTCCCGCGCCGATGCCCACTCGGCCACCGCCAGAGGCACTCCGGGAGACCCGCTGCGCCCCGTTGTCGGCAGCACTGGGACCCGCGGGCAGGAGGGGACATCGCCCCCGAGGGAGAGCACCCTGAGGTGCCGGGAAGATAATCAGGGGCTGGGCGCCACTGTGCTGGGGGGGACACACTCACACCCAGCCAGACACGCATTCGCACACATGCCTGCACACACAGACATACACACTCATATACACCCATATACAGGCCTCCCAGGTGGCGCTAGTGGTAAAGAACCCGCCTGCAATGCCGGAGACATAAGAGACCTGGGCTCAGTCCCTGGGTCGGGAAGATCCCCTGGAGGAGGGCACAGCAACCCACCCCAGGATTCTTGCCTGGAGAACCCCACGGACAGAGGAGCCTGGCCGGCTACAGTCCCTGGGGTCACAGAGAGCTGGACACGACTAAGCGACTTAGCAAGCCAGCAAGCACACCCATATACAGATAGACATTCTTGCAACATTCACACATGCACACACATGTATCACTCACGTATGCACACATTCACACACTCATGCATTCACACAGACACACGCCTACATTCACATACTACCCCTCTCTCTCACATACACACACCCCATCACCACCAGAGACTACTCACAGATTCAAGGAATTGCGCTCAGAACCGCACAAGTGCACACAGATCACCCCCTCACGCCTGCAGACGCACATGCACACTCACCTACACGCCAGCACGCACACCCCAGTGTGAGGACAAGGCAGAGCCAGGACTCAGCACCCGTGAGTCCAGAAGTCTGAGTGTGCTGCCGCTGTTGCCCCCACGTGCTGTGTGGCTGAAGGGAAAGTGCGGCCCCTCTCTGGGCTTCTGGGCAGAGCCCAGAACTACGGTGGAAAAGCCTGCCTCCGACAGGAGAGCCCCGTCTGTGCAAGGCTCCTCTCCCCACCTCTGTCCTCCCGCCTTTGGATCTGTCTCCGTCTCCATCTCTCTCGTTCCCTGAGTCTCTCCTTCCCGCCCCCCGCACTCCGTGTGAGTCTCCCCCATCCTGTCTTTCTCTCCCCTCCCCCTGCTGGTCCTCACCCTCAGCCTCCCGTCTGCATCTCTGAGGCGTGTGCACACGCACACTGTCAGGGAGGCTGTCGCGCCTCCCCCTGAGGCCCTGGGTGACAGACTCACTGCGGTGGGTGTGCAGAGCTCAGCCTCGGGGGAGAGTGAGCAGGCGGGGAGTGGGGAGGACCAGCGGGAGGAGGGAGGAGGAAGCCTGCCACCCCCAGCCTCAGACACACCACTGGGAGTCCGCAGCCCCCGCACCAGCCCCCTGATCCCCCACGGTTCCGGGGTCCAGGTTTCTCTCCATGTCCTCACATGGAGCTTCGTTCCAACTACCTGGTTTCGCTGGGGAGGAAACCAAGGCTCAGAGAGGGAACGGGCCCTCTGAAGGTCACACAGCCTTCAGAGGGCAGAGCGGAACTGGAACCCAAAACCTGGGTCTTCCAACTGGAAGCTCCCTCCAACCCTAAGTTGCACAGCCCCAGCACAGACCTGAAAACCATGGGGTGGGCTTGCCCCTCATCTCGCCAGGATGCCCACCACCTACACTGAGCTCTCAGACCCAGTGAGTCCAGCCACTCAGGGAGGGAGCGCAGAGCCCCTCTGACGCCCTGTCACCCCCCTCCTTCCCCAGGCCCTGCTGCTGGTGGCGGCCTTGGCAGGCCTGGGCTTGGGCCTGAGCCTCATTTTCATTGCTGTCTACCTCATCCGCTTCTGTTGCTGCCGGCCCCCCGAGCCGCCCGGGGCCAAGAGCCCCCCGCCTGGGGGAGGGTGCGTCACCTGGAACTGCATCGCTGCCCTTCTCGTCGGCTGGTAATGGGGCCCCAGGGTGGGCGGGCAGGGGGACAGGTCTCCCCAAGCTCTCTATCATCAGCCTTCCTGGTGGTGCCCCAGCAGGGACACTTGCTCTCCCATTTGATGGATGGAGAAACTGAGGCCAAGAGGGGAGACGTGACTTCCCTGGCAGGATGGGGTGGGGGCTGAAGCCTGGGCAGTGAGACCGCTGGGCTTGATGTCTCTGAGTGGAATAGCTGTGTGACCTGCGGGAGTGACGTAACTCCTTCAGGCCTCGGTTTCCACATCTCTAGAATGGGCACTGTTGTCACACCCACCTCCCAGTTGTGCTGAGGGTGAGTGACATGTCTGGTGCCTGGTCCCCAGCTGGGCTCTGTAAATGTGCACTAGTGATGTCATTCATTAACTCATCAACCCTCATTCAGCAGTTATTTCCTGAGTGTCTGCAACAGTCCCAGGGGAGCCTGACCAAGCCAGACAAGGGCCCTGCCCCCAGGGAGCCAGTGATGGCCCCATCAGGGACAGTAGGGGATGCCTGTGACCCCAGAGCAGACCCAAGCTGGCCTGACTCCTCCCCACGGTGACCTGGCTGGACTCAGAGTTGTCACCACCGCTTCTGAAGAGGGAGGCTCAGAGAGAAGCAACTTTTCAAGGTCGCCTCGGCCAGGTGGCAGACTGAAGATTCAGACCCAGAAGCCCCTAGGAGCCCAGGGCCGCCTCCTGGGGTACCACCAGAGTGGAGAGGGACAGGGCACCTGAGGACACACTGGGTACCCAGGGCTAGCTCTGCGGGCAGCCCCCTCCCAGCAGGGCAACCCCCCACCACTCAGGACAGACCAGGGCGCTCAAGACCTGACCCTCAAGTGGGAGCTGGGGGTTGGCAGGGCGGGCAGTGGCAGAGAGCTGGCACCCGCTTCTCCCCGCAACAGGCTGGGTTCTGCCACCCTGCAGGGAGCCCCCGTGTGGGGCTTTGGGGGTGCGGGCAGGGGCGAGGGCTTCCTCCTCGGCCTGGACTGGGGAGGCAGACAAAGGCCCCGCGGGGGAGCGGCACAGCCAGCCCCGAGGCCTGGGAACAAGAGCAGCTTTGTGGGACCTTGGACAATGGGTAGCTGCCGGTGTCCGATCCCAGGGCTGGGGGCGGGGCGGCGGGGCCCGGGCTGGGAGCCGTGAGGGCGTCCGGGCCTCCTCCACCCCAGCGCGGCCCTGGCTCCCCTCTGCAGAGGGACACAGCGCGTTGGGGGTGGGGGGAGATTGGAGACCGTATTCAGTCCCCACAATGGAGCTCTGTCTGCTGGCAACTGAGGTGGGGGGGGGGGCGCCTGGCTTCTGGCCCCTCGGCCCACATTCCCTTGCTTCCCTCCCAGCTGTCCAGACACTTGGGTCCCCAGGGGAAGGGGGAAGGCTGGGAGCTCCAGGCTCCGGGACCCCCAGGAGGTGGTGGCTCCATGGAACCCCCAGGAGGCGGGGCATAGGATGGCTGGAGCCTGAAGGGACAGGTGCTGAGGACCCTGGATGTTTGGGGGAAAGAATAGAGGGGCTGCGGGTGGGGCTGGCAGACCCCAGAGGTGAGAACTTCCCACTCTGGGGCTGGGCACGACAGGGGTTCACTCCGGGGAGGTGCGAGTTAAATCTGGGGGCCCCCCCTCCCCGCCACCTCTCCACCCACCATTAGCATCACAATGACGTCCCTGGGCCGGGGGAGTGAGACCTTCTCGGTTACCTTGGCAACCAGTGGAGGCCAGGCTGGAGACGTTCCTTTCCCACGAAGGGCTGGACCAATGGGATGGGGTGGGAGGCGTGATTGGGTGTGTGAGGAGGTTGGAGGGAGGCGGCCCCCAGGGTCCCAGGACCGGTTGTGATTTCCCTTCCCTCCTCCTCTTAGCGCTGGCATTGGCATCGGTTTCTATGGCAACAGTGAGACCAGCGATGGGGTGTCCCAGCTCAGCTCTGCACTACTGCATGCCAACCACACGCTCACCGCCATTGACCACCTGGTGAGGAGACCAGGCATGGGCCAGACCCCAGACCACACCCAGACTGCTTCCCCACACCTGGCCAAAGGACTCCCCACCCCGCCCCCCAGGAGACAGGATCTGAACTCAGAGCTGAGACCCCAGGTTCAGAATGTCAGGTTCCAACATGCAGATCTCAGACTGTCCACCCAAACCCCCAACCCTGACAGCCAATCAGGGCTCCACGCATGGCACACTCAGAACCTCAGCCCAGATCTGGGACTAGAGACTCAAACCCAGGCCCCCAGACCCATTGCATCCCCAGCCCTGGGCTTCAATTCACAGCCCAGACCTTTCAGAGACCAAACACCAAGACCCTGCCCTCAGGGCAGATCCAGGGCCAGAGACCTGGCCCCTGGCCAAGTGCGAGGTAGGAGACCTGAATGCTGAGACCCAGGACTCAGCCAGGAAGCCTCGCTCTGACCCCCATGATTCCAGACGCGAGGCCAAGACCCAGCCCGACCTCAGATGTTAGGCTTCATGTCCAGTTGCAGCCCTGGGCCGCAGAACCCAGACTTGCGGCCCCAGCCTCAGTCCTAGGATGCCAGGCTTCATCTCAGCCATGGGGCTCACCCGCTCACCTCTCCAACTCCTGGAAGAAGCCACAGAAGCACACATGCCAGGCAGGGTCCCCTCCTTAGCTTCCTGCATCCTCAGATGCCCTAGCGCCCAATCCCAGGGAGCCAGCCCGGCTCACTCCTGCTTCACTCCCGCCACCCTGGCCCTGCCCTCCCGCCCAGAGGACACACTCCCCTGACTCCAGACACGCCCCCCCCCCCTCCCCTGCACCCAGGTGCTGGAGATGGTGGAGAGGCTGGATGAGGCCGTGAGGACTGAGCTGACCACGCTGGAGGAGGTGCTGACGCAGCGCATGGAGCTGGTGGCCGCCGCCCGGGGCGCCCGGCGGCAGGCGGAAACCGTGGCCCAGCAGCTCCAGGGGCTGGCCTTCTGGCGGGGGGTGTCCCTGAGCCCCGTGCAGGTGGCCGAGGATGTCTCCTTTGTAGAGGAGTACAGGTGGGTGGGCTCACTTCCTGTCCTGGGTGGAAAATTAGGTAGGAGATGAGAACAGGAGGGTCTGGGGACAGAGACTGGCAGTTTTTGGATTGGGGGGCGGGGGGCAGGGACCGGTCATTTCAGTAAGGCCACAAGGAGAAGGTAACATTTGAAGGAAGGGAGGGAACCAGTTATTTGGACATCAGACAGCCACCCATCCCAGTGGCCAACACAGCAGAGTCCTCATCACTTCGTCCGCTAGGAATGATTTCTTTTGTTCATCCAACACCTGGGGCCCAATCAGACTTAGGGGCAGAGAGACAGGGAAGACTTTTGACCTGGATTCTGTGCTCCAGAGGGGGAGGCCGACTTGGGTTGAAGCAGCCCGTAATGTGGACGCCCACCGTGGGCATCAGACAGGCCTGTGTCCCAGTGAGTTCAAGTTCTGGGTTGTGACCAAGTCCAGAGGCCACAGCTCCATTTCAGGGAGGCTGGGGGTAGGAGTGTAGACTTTGCCAGGGTGAGCCAGACCCACCGTCTACAGGAAATAGCTGCTGGATACACCCAAGAATCTACCTGCAATGCCGGAGACGCAGGAGATGTGGGTTGGATCCCTGCGTGGGGAAGATTTCCTGGAGGAGGGCATGGCAACCCACTCCAGTATTCTTGCGTGGAGAATCTCTTGAAGCCTGGGGGGCTACAGTCCACTGGGTCGTGAAGAGTCGGACACGACTGAGCAACTCTGCATGTGTGCACGTGTAGGCATGCATGCATATGAGACGGCCTGGCACTCGGGAGGGGGTATGGCTGGTTCTCCCAGCGGGAGAATTTTGCTGGAGTGCACGGAGGGTTAGGACAGAAGTGCCTGCCCCTCACAGAAACCAGAGTGAGGCTGGAGCACGTGAGCTGTCAGTGGCAATGTAGGGAACCTGGAGCCACTGGGCCCAGCTTCCCCTTCCTGGAGACAGCCTGACCCTCCCAGGGCCCGGGGAAGGAGTGCACAGTCAGTCCCCACGGGGGTCTGAGCAGAGGCTGCCATGGAGAAGGTGGCGGCTCCCTTGCTACCCTGCCCGCGTGGGGACTGCTGAGAACGCTATTTATTGAGCGTCTCCCATGGGCCAGCACTGTGCTGTAGGCTCACTGGCTTTGTCAGCTGCAGTCAGCATGTCGATCATTAACTAATATATACTGAATTCTTCAGTACCCTTTAGAGTTCCCTAATTCATGTTCAAGCCAATGTTTAGGTGTGCCCCAGTGCTCGGCACGCTCCTCGGTGCTTTCTGGGTTCTCGGCCTTAGGACAGCCTTAGGAAGTAGGTGCTGCTCTTCTCCCCAAGAGCTACCGGCGGGGAAACTGAGGCACAGAAGTCTCAGGCAGGCAGGAAGCAGAGGGGTGGCGTTGCGGCCCGGCCCACCTGCCTGCAGACGGCGAGCCCTTGGGTTGTGCCCTGTGATGCTGGATGCAGGCCTGGGAACAAGTCCCGCTAAGACTCTCCAGCCTGGGGTAAACGGGCTGGGGCTCCAAGAGGCCAGATCACGGGTGCCAGTCACGGGGCTGTGCGTGGCTTGGTGCAGGTGCGGTTACAGTGATCTGCCTCAGGCCCTGTGCTCTAAATGGCAGTAGTGACCGGCCCCCCTGTGCGCCCATTTCACAGATGAGCTTGGCTGAGGCCTGGAGACTGGGCGTCAGGGAGATCACAGAGATCCAGGCAGACATGGGCCATCATGAGGGTGCTGTCACCTTCTGCGTGTCCCAGTCTGGGAGCCTGGATGCCCGAAAGGCTGGGTTGACTGCTTCTGCCTCCCCACTGTCGCCCCCTCCTCAGGTGGCTGGCCTACGTCCTCCTGCTGCTCCTGGAGCTACTGGTCTGTCTCTTCACCCTTCTGGGCCTGGCGAGGCAGAGCAAGTGGCTGGTGATCGTGTAAGTCCGGGTGGCCTTCCTGGCAGTGGCGCACATCACAGGGCGAGATCCCACGGCACTCTTGTGAAAGGGGCCGCCGTCTTTCCGAGGCTCAAGCTGGTTTCATTCCCTTGTCCCACAAACCTCCAGAGAGTTCCTGGGTGGGCAGGCATGTAGGGGCCCAGAGTGGCCCAGGAGGGGCTGGGGCAGCAGACTGTCCTTGTCACAGGGAGTGCACCAAAGTCCCAGAAAAGCAATAATAGTAATAATGCTTCTGCTGAGGACGGGGGTGATCACTGCCCCCTTTGGTTGCCATGACAACACTGTGACCCAAGGTACTGTCAGAGGTCTGTCTGGCAGGCAGATGAGGGCTGCGAGGCAGAAGGCTGTCTCGTGGTGCATGGAATTAAGGACCACAATCTTACTGAAAGGTTCGTTCTGTATGCCTGATGCTCTTCTGGAACCCTCGCGTTGACCTTACAAAGAGGTCCTTCCCATTTTCCCATTTAACAGAAAGGGAGACTGGTGTTCAGAGAGCTTAGGTAACTTGCCCAGGATTGCACAGCCAGAAAGTGCTGGAGCTGAGATTCCACCCAGGCCAGCCTATCCCACTCAGAGGAGCCCTTGTACCCTCTCTGGTCCTGAGGGGGCCCACACTGGTGCCCACCACCATCCCCACGCTCCCCCCTGGGGTGAGCGGGCCTGCTATTCCATCCAGGCCCTCCTCTGAAGCTTGGGGATGGTAAGCATCGCGGGCAGTCTGGGACTTGGGGCTGGGCCTTCAGTGTGACCCCTGCAGGCTTCCTTCTCACTCTCGGACCACCCTCCAGTGCTGATCCATCCCCCCGCAAAGAGAAAAACCAGGAGGCGTTTTCAGCCCTGAGCTGAGTCCACCCCTGGGCTGAGCTGGAGTCTGACCAATGGGTGAAGCTAGGAGCGAGCTCCTTCAGAATTCAGAGCTGGGCACTGGGATCCAGGGCCTGGAAGTCACCCTCCTATGGTCCCACAGTCCGGAGCAAGGCGGGGGCAGACCTGGGCAGGAGCCTGCCCACACAGGGCCCTTCTCACTACCAGCCCCCTGCGCCCCACCTCCCAGAAGGGCCAGATGTTCAGTTTGACGTCAACACCTACAGGCCCACCCTCTCCCTGCCCACTGCTCTGCCCCTAACTGTTATCCTCTTGGCTCCAGAGATTGGTGGGGGAGAGGGTGGGGCTGTGATGTGATCTGGGGTGGGAAGTGGTGAGGTGGGAGATTAGGAACCCCAGAACTCCAATCCCACCCCTCCTCCCCCACTACAGGATGACGGTGATGAGTCTCCTGGTTCTGGTCCTGAGCTGGGGCTCCATGGGCCTGGAGGCAGCCACAGCCGTGGTGAGCACCAGGGGGTGGGGGTGGGGTGGGGACAGGCACCTGGGCTCCAAGACCCCAGGGGCTGAAGGCCCGTGACTCCCAGACCTGGGGAGGAGGGGGACAGAGGCCTCAGACCCTGAGAGACAAGACTTGGGAGACAGGCTCACAGGTTCTGCGGTTTGAAGCCAGTGTTCTAGGTGCTGAGGGGCTGGAGTCCAGGACCCCCAGGTCTGAGGGAGGAGGGGCTGGGAGTTCTGGACCCCCGTGTCTGAGGAGGAGGGGCTGGTGGCCTGGATCCTGGGTCTGAGGGAGGAGGGGCGGGGGGTCTGGACCCCTGGGTCTGAGGAGGAGGGGCTGGGGGCCTGGTTCCTGGATCTGAGGGAGGAGGGGCGGGGGGTCTGGACCCCCGGGTCAGAGGAGGAGGGGCTGGGGGCCTGGACCTGGGTCTGAGGGAGGAGGGGCTGGGGGGTCTGGACCCCCGGGTCTGAGGGAGGAGGGGCTGGGGATCTGGACCCCTGGGTCTGAGGAGGAGGGGCTGGGGGCCTGGACCTGGTGGTGTGTGTGTCTGTCCTAGCCCCCTCTGTGCCACTCTCAGGGCCTCAGTGACTTCTGCTCCAGTCCGGACAGCTACATCCTGAACCTGACCCAGGAGGAGACCGGCCTTGGCTCAGGTGATCACACCTCCGGGGGCGCACCCTGTATCCTCAGGCCTCTATGCCTGGGGTGGGGTGGGGGTGCCAGCCCTGCCCAGTTCTGCCCAGCAGAAGCTCTCAGCACCTGCCCTGGCGGGCTGGAAACGAGGGAAGGGATAAAGACACTGAGAAAAGGGGTCAGGGAGAGGGGCGGGCTGGGCCACTTGGAGAAAGTGGGGGAGCACAGTTAGGTCAGGGCAGGTGCAGAAGCAGCACTGTGGGGTGTTCAGATCAGCGCGTTCGGGCTGTGGCTGCAGCAGAAGGGAGTCCCCTGGAGCAGAGTGGGGGCGCGGAGGACTGGGGGCTCGGAGGGAGAGGCCAGTGGGACCACAGGAGGGCCCTGAGCGGGGAGGGTGGAAAGTGTGGCCCTGCCCCGCCGCCTGTCCGCGGGGAGGATCCCGGGGCTCACGGCCTCCCTTCTCTTCCCTCCCGCTTCAGACATCCTGAACTACTATTTCCTCTGCAACCAGGCCGTCTCCAACCCCTTTCAACAGGTTAGTGCTGCGGGCGAGGGAGCCGGGGGAGGAGGGCGCGGCTGAGGCCTGGATTTAGGGGCCCGGGTGTGGGAGGAGAGGGGGCGGGGGGCGGCGGTCAACCGCTGGGCCCTCCTCCCTCCCTCCGTCTTCTCGCAGAGGCTGACTCTGTCCCAGCGAGCTCTGGCCAACATCCACTCCCAGCTGCAGGGCCTGGAGCGGGAAGCTGTGCCCCAGTTCCCTTCTGCGCAGGTCGGCGGGCCGGGTGCTACCCCTGCACCCCGACTCCCAGGCGGAGGAGGGGGCGGGGGCTGGAGCGGTGGGCGGAGTCCTAGGAAGGGACGGGTCAGCGATCGTGGGCGGGGCCCACGAAGGGGCAAGCCGAGGCTGTGGGTGGGGCCCCGGGGCGTGGGGCGGGCGGAGAGGGCGGGGCCTAGATGTATGGGCGGAGTCTTAGGAAGGGGCAGGCCGGGGCCTGTGGGCGGGGCCCAGGGCGTGGGGCGGGTATAAGGGGCGGGACCTGGCGCGGTGGGCGGAGCCCGGGGAGTTCCTGCTATAACCACCCCCTTCCCACCGCAGAATCCTGTGCTGTCCTTGGAGGAGACGCTGAATGTGACAGAGGGAAGCTTCCACCAGTTGGTGGCACTGCTACATTGTCGTGGCCTGCACAAGGTGACCCCTGTCCCCCTCCCCAAGTTGTGCTCCCAGGGGAGCTTCTGCCTGGACCCGGAAACCTAGGCCTCTTCTTGTGGCTTCCTGCCCCTACCCTCCACAACCCTTCCTCCAGCAAGTCCTTCTGGACTCCAAGCACAGCCCACGCCGGCACCTCTGCTCCTGACGGCCGCAGAGCCTCTTCCCTCTCCCCATAGCAGCCGGGAGCTCAGCGAGTCTTTTAAACGCAATCTGATCTTCTTCCTCCGCTTAGAAGCCTCCAGCAGTTCCCCCAGCCTGAAGATTAAAGTCCTGGTTTCTCGCCTGACCTCCGGGGGCCCGTGTGGTTAGCCCTGGCTGGTTTCCGGCCTCAGCCCTTTGCACCCCCATCCTCCCGGCCCCCTCCCCCTCAGGGAGCGGTCTGGGACCTCCCACCGCAGGGTTCCTTCCTGCCTGTACCGTCTCTGCTTTAGCGGGGAGGGGAGGGGCGCCCAGTACTACTTTCCAAACCGCCGCGCTTATCAGCTCCTCGTGGTCTGAAGTGACCTTCTGGGGCTTGGTCACCGAAGTCACCCTGGCGCCCGGCCCCGAGCAGGCCGTCTGTCATTCAGGCCAGTTCCTGGTGAATGACTGAGAGCCTGGCGTTCAGGAATCGCTGGTTTCTGTATCAGCCAGTGTTTACTGAGCAGGCGTCGCCGTGCAGGGGGGCAGGTCTACGCCAGTTGTTTTGCTAAAGCCTTCTTCTCAGTGTTGTTCTAAGCCAGGGATTTTTGCCCTGGGGGACAGTTGGCAGTGTGTAGAGACATCCTTGGGGGTCTCGGCCCCGAGAGAGGGTGCTGTGGGCGGAGGCCAGGGATGCACCCTGCCCCCCAAAAAAACACACACACAGTGTGGGAAGTGTCCAGGACGAGAAGCCTGGCACTCAATCAGGGCCAAGCTGTGGCAACGGCTGGGCGTGGGGTGGTGGGTTCTCAGTGATGGACAGGAAGTCATGACTACAGTCATGCCTGCAGGTGTGATAAACAACAGTGACCACAGCACCTACTGTGCGCTGAGCGCTTCCCGTGACAGGAGAGGAAACTGTGGCAGAGAGAGGCTGAGGGGTGTTCTCAGTGAGCCACAGCCGGGTGGATGGCCCGGGCCGTGGGCACTGCCCGCTGACCCCTCCCATCTCTCCCGTCCCAGGACTATGGCGCAGCCCTGCGCGGCCTGTGTGAAGACACCCTGGAAGGACTGCTCTTTCTGCTGCTCTTCTCCCTCCTGTCTGCCGGGGCCCTGGCCACCATCCTCTGCAGCCTGCCCCGCGCCTGGGCCCTCTTCCCGCCCAGGTCAGGGGGAGGGGGTTGAGGTCCTGGGGGAGGGGATGGGGAGCACCATGGAGCCACTGCTGGGGACCACGCCCTCACGGGTCCCCCTTCCTGCTTCTCTGCTACTCCCCTTGTTGCACCCCAGTGACGACTACGAGGACACAGACGATGATGACCCTTTCAACCCTCAGGTACCGGACTCCCGGGCCCGAGGGAGGAGGGGCTGGGGGCCCGGACCTCTGGGTCTGAGGGAGCAGGGGCTGGGGGCCTGAAGTCCTGGTCTGAGGGCCCACATCGCCAAGCCCAGTTCCCTAGTCATGCCCTCCCCTGCCCACGTCTCCCTGGCAGGAATCCAAGCGCTTCGTGCAGTGGCAGTCATCAATCTGAGCCCTTTCTCCAGTCCAGACTGGAGCCTGGTCTCCGTTTCTGGTGAGCGTCTAGGCTGACACCAGCCTCCAGCCCCTGACCGCACCTCCTTCCCTCATTCCTTCCCTCCCTCCCACCTGCATCTGGTTCGTTTTGCCTCTCTCTGCAGTTCCTTCCCCGGCTGCCGGAGAAGACCCCACTAACCCAGCCCCACGGGGCTCCCACCACTAACAATGCCCTGGCCACGGACACCTTAAACAGGACTGCCTCCCTGCCCTGCCCCTCTCTGTGTCCTTAACCCTGGAAGTAAGCCCAGGGGGCAGGCCAGGGCCTGGGGGCTTGGTGGGGAGAGGGGAGAAAGCGAGCCCTGTCACCCCTCATCCCTGAAGGGGTGAGAGTGCCCTCTGGCCCCCCGCCACACCCCAGAGGACTTAGGGCCTCTGCTCTCCACTTGCGGCACCCAGCTTGGGAATGGGCTGATTTGAAATAAAAGGGAAGACTTTATTTTACAAGCAGCTGGGTCCTTATTTCTCCCTGATCTGGCCTCACAGTTGGGGGTGGGGGTGGGCAGAGCCCATCACCTCTGCTCCCACTTGGCTTCCTGGCCCCCAGGTGTTTCTGCTTCCATCCCGATGCTGCACCACTTTCTTTACCAAAAACAAAACAAAACAAAAAAAAACCCTCCCCTGGCCCCCGATCTAAAGCAGCACACATGTCCTGACACAGGAAGAGACGCAGATCCCTGGAACAGAAGACAGTCTAGAAATAGATCTCAGAGTGTGTGTGTGTATGACAGAAGACAGATTTCAAGTCAGGGCAAAAATACTGGTTTCAAAGGAATGCTGATATGATTAGCTTTCCATCTGGAAGAAAACAGCCTGCATACAATATGGGCAAAAAAATCCAAATGCAGACGAGTAAGGGGCTTCCCTGGTGGCTCAGATGGTGAAGAATCTGCCTGCAGTGCAGGAGAGCTGAGTTCCATCCTTGGATCTGGAAGATCCCCTGGAGGAGGGCATGGCAACCCACTCCAGTATTCTTGCCTGGAGAATCCCATGGACAGAGGAGCCTGGTGGGCTACAGTCCATGAGGTTGCAGAGTCAGGCACGACAGAGTGACTAAGCATAGCACAGCACAAGGGGACAGAAGTATTTCAAGAAAAAGGAGGAGACTCTTGTATTTCTTGGTTGGAGGGCGAGGGCTTTCAGTGAGATATTCTGAAGACAGAAATGAAAAAGTAACTTATTTGACAAATTGTGGAATGAGAAAAATACCACAAAATCCAGGGGGGAAATTGAAACAACAACAACAGTGAAATAGATAATTCTTAATACATACATATAAGCTGCAAAGTTACATCCACAGATCAAGCAAAAGACCACCCAATATAAAAATAAGCAAAGGAGAAGACCATTCAACGAAATGAAAATCCCAACACCAGGGGACAGACTAAAAGGCATTCAAACCCTGATGATTAGGAAGTGCACTTTGAAACTTTGGACGTCTCCGGTGGCTCAGTGGTAAAGAATCTGCCTGCAGTGCAAGAGACCTGGGTTTGATCCCTGTGTCAGGAAGATCCCCTGGAGAAGGGCATGGCAACCTGCTCCAGTATTCTTGCCTGGAGAATCCCATGGACAGAGGAGCCTGGACTATACAGTCCATGGGGTCACAAAAGAGTTGGACACAACTGAGCAACTAAACAAGAAGTTGCCTGTCTGGTGTGAATGTCCATCTATGTCTCTGTGGGAACACTGATGGGATTACTCCTGATGCTGAGCAGGGTACTGAGGGTCATGTCCTCTGTGGAAAATAAACCAAATGTTCTCTCGAAAAAAGCCCGAAGGGTTTCAGGTCAAGGCCTGTTGACGCAGAGCACCAGATGCCCAATGTGGGACCTGCCATGGGGGGACTGCTCAATGCTTGCTAATCATTTCCATCTTGTACACTGCAAGGAATGGTCAAGAAAGCCCTTGACGTGTGGGCCTGAAGCTGGGAAAGAGAAATGGACCATGGTTTCCAAAGAGGGACACCAGGGCCCACCCACAGGTCACTCTCATGACTGCGAGCCGTTTGGTGCCCTGTTGAGGGGTTGGCCTGGAGGCTCTTCTAGCTGCTTTGCTCTCAAATGCTGCCCTCTAGTGCCTCTCAGTCTGTGTGTTGGACATTCAGAGTACTCTGAGATTCACGCTGCTTGATTTCCTGGGAGTCATAATTAACTGGGAAGCCTGGTGGCTCAGATGGTTAAGAGACTCCCTGTAATGCAGGAGACCCAGGTTTGATCCCCCCTGGAGATGGGAATGGCTACTCACTCTGGTATTTGTGCCTGGAGAATTCCATGGACAGAGGAGCCTGCAGGATGCAGTCCTAATCAAGGAAAAAAACCATTTTGGTCTAACTTTAACAAAAGTTAAATCTATTTTCATTTTCTGGGCAAAGTGGTGAAATTCAAACAAAGTCTGCAGTTAACAATATTGTGCCAACGTTGGTGTCTTAGTTTTAACATACTACAGCATTGCAGGGAAACTGTAGGGTAGGCAGGACTGTGAATTATCTTTGCAACATTTATTGTAAGCCTAAAACTGCTCTAAAACGAAAAGTTTAATTTAAAAAGTGAAGGGATTAAAAAAAAAGATCAACTGTGCTAATACTAACAAAATGACACGCAATTATCAACAGAAAAGTTTTTAAGAATAGAAAATCGGAAATAAATTGCTGCTTCGTAAATACCACCTACTGCAACTACAGTGACCCGTCCGTGAACTGCAGTGGATAATTCTATCATTCAGAATCGTGAGTGGGAACAGGATTACTGAAAAGATTACTTGCAAGGAATCTAGACAGGCTTTTTAAAATTGTGCGTGTGTGTCAAGTCGTTTCAGTCGTGTCCGACTGTTTGAAACAGTCTACCATGGACTGCAGCTCTCTGGCGTCCTCTGTCCATGGGATTCTCCAGGCAAGACTACTGGAGTGGATTACCATGCCTTCCTCCAGGGGATCTTCCCTGACCCAGGAATCAAACCTGTGTCTCTTGTGTCTCCTGCATTGGCAGGCAGGTTCTTTACCAGTAGCGCCACCGGGAAAGCCCTGTTTAAACGGAAGGGTCCCAATTCTTCAGCCGGACAAGGATGGCCTTTCAGGACCTGCTACCTGCAAACATCTACAGACCTTTTTTTTTTTCCATTTATTTTTATTAGTTGGAGGCTAATTACAATATTGTAGCGGTTTTTGTCATACATTGACATGAATCAGCCATGGATTTACATGTATTCCCCATCCCGATCCCCCCTCCCTACAGACCTTTCTTGACGCCAGGACCCCTCACTTCTGTTCCACCAGAGCCACCGCCGCAATCCCCAAGCTACGCCTGCTTCCCGCCCCTGTGTTTGCACACTTCGTAGCCTCGGCCGGGTGCACCCTTCCAGTTTCATTTCCTAGGAAGTTTCTCTTTCCGGCCGGAGGCCGTTCTCAGGCCTTCTTTGGGTCCATCGTCCCACATCACCGCGCGGTAAGGACTCTCAGAACTACTCAGCACACCGATTTACACATAGAAATAGTGATGGCTGCCACCAGCTGGGCCAAAACGAGGATGCACGGGAGGGCGCGGGGCCCGAGCCCTCTACCGAGAGTGTCCCCTCAGGGCCACCGTCCACAGCCCTGCTTCCGCCTTGTCTGAAAATGCTTGCCCCCTCCCCGTGGTTGCGTCACAGAGGGCAGGTTCTAACCAAGTTCGCGGCGTCTATTGGCTCCCCGCGGTGACGGGAGGCGGGGCGAAGCATCAGCGTGACGTCAAGACGCCGCGGTCCGGACGTCGAAACTTAAAGACAGGAGCCAGCCTGGTCGAGGGCAGTCGCGGAGCCCTGTTGCCGTCGCCTGGAACCGCCGCTGACGCGTCCCGGGGTCGTACGGCCGAGGTGGGTGTGCCGAGTGGGGGCGGCCGGGCGGCCGGGCGGAGACGGCGTTTCCTTCTGGCCTTCCGCCCCGCGGCCCCCAAGGCCTTGGCGGCCGTCGCACCAACGGACGCCGAGCGCGAGCGACGACAGGGTGTGGCGGGGGCGCGGGCCAGTGCGCCTGCGCGTGGGGAGTGGGGCGGACGGCCGCGCACCCTCGCGCCTGCGCCCTTGGGCGCCGCTCCCCGCCCCCGCGCTCGGAATTCCTGGGCCCCGAGCACCCCTTCAACTCCCATTGACCCGGCGATTCCACCGGAGGACCGCGTTGCCCCGGGCGACGGGCCCCTTGCTCTTTCTTCGCCGCCTCGCCGCGCTCTCCGGGACGTGGTGCGCAGGCGCGGCGCGGCCGGGGCGGTGGCTCCGGGGCCGATGGCTGGGATCGGGATCCGGGCTGGCTGTTCCTCCGCCCGGCGTCCTCGTTTGCTTTCCCTGGGCTCGTGGGACGGCCAGGTGCCCCACTCGCATCCGCGTCTCCTTCCTTCCTTTCAGACCTGCCCGGAAACCTCCCTCCCGAGTTGCACCAGACCTTACCCTAAGTCTTCCTGTCTTGGGGTCCCCCTCAACCCTCCCCAACCTCTGGGGACCGCTGACCTCCGCGCCCCCCACCCTTTCGCTCACCCCCGTTCCGTCTCATCTCTGAGACCCTTTCTTCTTTAGGACTTTTCCCGGCTCCAGACTCCTGTTCCTGTCACCCCACTCAGGACTTCCGGATTCCCCAGCGGAACCTGCTTTGGGGCACACCCATCCTTCTCAGTTATCCCCTTGAGTCTGGGTCCCTCCCACCCAGTCTTCGCCCCCAGGGCGCTCCTTCACTTTCTTGCAGCCCTCTCCCTCCCACTCTTAAGTTCCTAACAATGTTAGGGGTCTTTTCGGGCACCCGCAAAACTTTCTGTCCAGACCCCCAGCCAAGAGGATTTGATGGCTCTTCTCCCAACCTACTGCTGTTTCTAGTAACCTCCCGTGTAACAGTTTTCTCTGTCCTTAGGGGACCTTCCGGAAATTAGTCTCTTTAAGAGTTTTCTAAGAACTCATTTCTTTACTTCAGGGCTCTTCTCTTTGCCTTCTTCTGGCTCCAGGAGTAACTTGCGGAAATCCCCATTTCCTTCCAGGTTTCTCCGTTCTCCAGTGTTTTCTCCTCTTCTCTCAAGACTCCCTCAAACACGTCTCTCTTTACAGCCTTTTTTTCAGAAGTCTTTCCCAGCCTTAAGCTTCACTCAGACCTTGTTCATTAGCGCTTCCTCCGTACCCCTTGCCTGAGGTCCCCCCACCCGCCCTCCGACCCTCCTCCAATCTGTCTTGTGGTTTCCCTTGAACCTTTCCCTTTCTTCATTTGGGTTTCAGAGCCTTCTTTTTCTCTTTGGGAAATTTCTTTCAGCTTTTTTGCTTTCATCCTTCATTTTCATCTAGAGCACTGCAGGGGGTGGCCAGGGGCTTTCCCTGGGACTGTAGCCCATCTCTTTATTCTCTTCAGGCTGCTTACCCCACCAGCTGCTTCCTTCTCTGGCTTCTTGTGAGTCACCTGCTCCTCTGCTGGTTGGTGGCATGTTTCTCGCTCCTTCTTGATTCTCCCTAATTCGTTTTTTGCCTTACAGACGGTGAAAAAGCACTCTGGCTCCCGAGGTCCACCCCTTACACCCCAGGGTGCAGATGGCGGCCAACGTGGGTGATCAGCGCGGCGCAGATTGGTCAGTGGGGCCGGAGGGATGGCATGGGCGTGGGGGGCGGTGAGAGGAAGCAAGGCCCAGTGTCGGGCTCTGGGTGGGCCCTCACGCAGCGTGGGGGGCATGATGCTGTGGTCCCTGTGCTTGGGCTGGGGGTGAGGCACTTGTGTGAGCGTTCATCGTTCACAGTACAGTGCTTGAGTCACAAAACACTGATGACTCGGCCCATCAATTGTGATTAAAGGGGCAGCCTCTAACACTTCATACTCAGTTTATTATTTTTTTTGTTCCTTATTTTTTCCAAAACAGTGTGGTGATTAACTTTCTGACTGAGGTGGTATCAGACACAACCTGTGGATTCCTAAAACATTTAGGCCTGCTTGGCCCCAGGTCTTAAGTTCTGTGGACATTGGGCATCTTTTTGTTTGACTGTTAACAGCTGTATGTAGCAGGCGTCTGGTGAAGCACCTTAGGTAGGCAGTGGTCTTCATGGCTCACGGAGAGCTGTGAGCAGGCACTGTCAGCACATCTCAGCTTAGACTCTGAGGCTGTGGGATTCCAGCCCTGGCGTTTGCTGGCCTCCATCCTGCCCAGTGTCCGTGGTGGGAGCCGGGGCTGACTCCACGTGCTCTTCCTGCAGGTCCTCTCAGTACAGCATGGTGGCCGGGGCAGGCAGAGAGAACGGCATGGAGACTCCCATGCACGAGAACCCGGAGTGGGAGAAGGCCCGCCAGGCCCTGGCCAGCATCAGCAAAGCGGGAGCCGCCGGCAGCTCCGCCAAGGCCAGCAGCAATGGGCCTGTGGCCAGTGCACAGGTGAGAGAAGGCCCCGCGGGACTGGGAACCCTGAGCGGGGCGGGAGCACAGCGGTGTCCTCTGGGATCACCAGGGCGGGGCGCTCTGAAGATGCTCCCGGAGCCCTTGAGTGGGGATGCTTGGTCTGTCTCCTCGAGGAGTCTAGGGCCAGCCTGAGGAGGGAGAGGGGCCTGGGTGGGATGGCGGAGGGGGTGGCTCTCCCGGCTCCGTCCCTGAGCAGTTGACTCCTGGGAAATGGGGCTCCTGCCTGCAGCCCTCAGCCCGCCACCCTCTGCCCACAGTATGTGTCGCAGGCAGAGGCCTCGGCCCTGCAGCAGCAGCAGTACTACCAGTGGTACCAGCAGTACAACTACACCTACCCCTACAGCTACTACTACCCGGTGGTGAGTGCCCGGCTGGGGGCGGGCTCCGGGCAGCTGGTGGGCCGACCACGGCAGGGCTGACAGCGGCAGGACCCTCCCCTGGCTCGGGGCCATCCGCGCGCCCCCCCCCCCCCAACAGTGCTCGTATTACCACAGAGCCTCCTCCATCTCCGCGCACCCCACTCCCTGCCGTCTTCCTTGTCCCTACGCTTCTTGCGGAGGGCTGCCCAGAACAGGCCTCCTTAGAGCAGCAGGCCCGCCGCCCACCCTGCCTGCCACTTGGCTTCTCCGCTTGGCCTCCTTTCTTCGCTTACTGGGGGGAGTGTTACGTGTCTGCAGCTGACTTCATCGGCACTGGGTTTCTGTGTGTATGGTGGTTCTGTTGTAGTGTTTAGATGGGGTAGCGCTCAGTAGATAGCTGTTGAACACGGTGAAACATGGGACAGAGGGAGGTTTTCATCTTACCTCCTAACCTGTAGCATGAGTCAGTCTGGTGCATTTATGAGGTAGAGAGGGGAAGGGTGACAAGTCAGTGGCGGATTGCCGCTGAGGGCTGGGAGAGAGCAGGGCCAGGGCCAGGCCCCCCTCCCTGGAAGGAGAGGGCCTATGGCTGACCCCTTCCCTCCTTCCCCCGGCAGAGCGTGTACCAGAGCTACGGCTCCCCCTCCCAGTACAGCATGGCCAGCTCCTATGGTTCAGCCGCGCCGCAGCACCAAGGGCCTCTGAGCCAGGTAACGCCCTGCCCAGCCCTGGGGCCGTCCAGGCTGGGTGTGGAGGGAGGGAGGCGGAGCCCGGGCTGGGGCGGTGGGTGGGCCTGGGTTTCCGTCTAGTGGGACGGCTCCTACGCGTGCGCCACGAGTGCGTCTTGACAACATGTGACCTGTGCCCAGGCAGTCACCGCTGGGGGAGGTGCTGCCTGGGGTGGGGACGGTTTATGCCATCCACACTCGCTGAAGTCAAGCTGGTAGACTGGGAAGCAGGACTTAGGATTACTTCATGTGGAATAGTCTTGCTGAAAAGATTTTAAACCCCGTTATTCCTTTCTGGAAACTTATGTGGTACCTGGAACAGCAATCATCATATTCTTTATTTTTAACGTGAACGACATAGAAAGATGTAACATATTTTAAAAATATGTAAAAGGTAATTTTTTAAAAAGTAAAACGAATGGACTTCCATCTGCCACCCACCTTGAGAAAGGAACAGAGAGCATTAATGTGTTTAGGGTCACTTGCCATCGCGGCAGCTCTCAGAGAGAGGAGACTGCAGTGTTGTAAATGCGGGCAGCTCAGAGCCTTGGGCAAGCAGCCCGCGGCAGAGCCCGGGCCCCTTGGCGGTCAGCAGGGTGGCTGTGGTAGCTGAGTCCGCACCGAGGGTCGCTCTGAGGTCGGTGTGGGGAGAGCTGCATACTGAGGGGTGTGACGGTGAAAACCGGAGCGAGGGCCCTCTCCGCCCTCAGCGCCGGCTTCCCCCACAGCCCCCCGTCCCTGGCATGGACGAAGGCATGCCCTACCAGGCGCCCCCTCAGCAGATGCCTGCGGCCCAGCCCCCCCAGCCCGCCAACCCCCCGCACGGTGCCCATCCTCTGAGCAGCGGCCCCCAGCCTGGGACAGCCCCCGCCACCCAGCACAGCCAGGCGGGACCCGCGTCGGGTCAGGCCTACGGGCAGCACACCTACAGTGAGCCTGCCAAGCCCAAGAAGGGCCAGCAGCTGTGGAATCGCATGAAACGTGAGCGCCTCGGGGTGGGGAGCGGGGCGGGGGCACAGGGCGGGGTCCTCACTGGTGAGAGGCACGAGGCAGCTCTGACCTCACTTCTGCTGTTGGGATCGCCCAGGCTGTGGGTGTGGCTGCTTGGGAAAGGGGCGGGATTCCCGAGCTCAGGTGCCCGGCTCCGAGGGGCGGGGCCAGCTGACCCCAGCTTTTCCTGCCCTCACAGCAGCCCCTGGGACTGGGGGACTCAAGTTCAACATCCAGAAACGGCCCTTTCCCGTCACTAACCAGAACTTCAGCTCCACCACAGAGGGCCAGCACAGCGGCTTCGGCCCCCAGCCCAACCCCGAGAAAGCCCAGAACCACAGGTGACCACCCGCCCCGTCCTTGAGAAAGTGGACGGTGCTCCCTCCCTCCCGTGGGCTCCCTGGGTGTTACGAGGGGGGCTGACGAGGTCCTGGCCCAGGTGTGGGGGCTGCTCCCCAACCGGCTGTGCATACCCGCCCTCCGCCAGGGGGAACCTGTCTGGGAAGCCGGACGACTGGCCACAGGACATGAAGGAGTACGTGGAGCGCTGCTTCACGGCCTGCGAGTCGGAGGAGGACAAGGACCGCACTGAGAAGCTGCTCAAGGAGGTGCTGCAAGCGCGGCTACAGGACGGCTCGGCCTACACCATTGACTGGAGCCGCGAGCCCCTGCCCGGGTGAGTCGGGAGGTGGGGGGGGAGACACAGGGGGCCTGGGGCTGAAGGGAGCCCCGCAGAGAGGTGGGCAGGAGGGTTGGGTCCCGGAGGGGCAGTTGGCTGGGGCCGGAATCCCTGGGGGTGCGAGCTGGGGGACGTGTTATTCAGCAGCTCGGAGTACCTCCCCTTTCTGCACCGCGTTAGCCGCGTCTGATGCCTGGGGAGGTGCCTCTCCTCCTGAGCGCATCTCCGGGGCGGGGGGTGCCAGGCTGTGACGCTCTGCTCTGCTGTGTCCTCAGGCTGACTCGGGAGCCTGTGGCCGAGAGCCCAAAGAAGAAGCGGTGGGAGGCGCCCAGCACCCTCCATCCTCCCCGAGGGGCAGCCTCCGCGACCAGGGGTGGGGGTGCCCAGTCCCAGCGAGGGACACCGGGGGCTGGAGGTGCCGGCCGAGCCCGGGGCAGCAGCTTCGCCAAGTTCGGCAACCGCAACGTCTTCATGAAGGACCACAGCTCTTCCTCCAGCACCGACTCCCGCTCCCGCTCCTCCTCCCGCTCCCCCACCCGCCACTTCCGCCGCAGGTGCGGGGATCCCCTGGCGGGCGGGGAGCCGGGGGTGGGGAGGGGGTGGGTGGCGGGGGCCGGGCCAGGCCTCACCTTCCCGCCCCTCCCTCCGGCAGCGACTCGCACTCGGATTCCGAGAGTTCCTGCTCAGGCAACGAGTGTCACCCTGTGGGCCGCAGGAACCCACCCCCGAAGGGCCGGGGAGGCCGGGGGGCCCACATGGACCGGGGCCGGGGCCGGGCACAGCGGGGCAAGAGGTGAGCTTTGGGCTGACAGCGGGAGGGGCCGGTTCGGGGGTCCTGGAATGAAGAGGGCTGTGTCTCGGGAGCGTCGGAGAGGGCAGTGCCACGCCCCCTCACGCCCCCCACCGCCTCCCCCAGGCACGACCTGGGGCCCACCAAGCGCAGCCGCAAGAAGCTGGCGGCCCTGGAGTGCGAGGAGCCGGAGCGCGAGCTGAAGAAACAGAAGCGGGCGGCGCGCTTCCAGCACGGACACTCGCGCCGCCTGCGCCTGGAGCCCCTGGTGCTGCAGGTGGGCAGCCTGGAGGGCAGTGCGGCCGACCCCGACTGGCAGGAGCTGCAGATCGTGGGCACCTGCCTGGACGTCACCAAGCACTACCTGCGCCTCACCTGTGCTCCCGACCCGTCCACCGTGCGCCCAGTGCCGGTGCGTGCCCGGCGTGGGGGAGGCAGGGCCGGGGAGGGGCGGCGATGGGCAGGGGCTGGCGAACGCGGGGGTGCCGACCCAGAGCTTGCATTCGAGAGACAAGTCCGGGAGGCGGGGCCGGCCCCGAGCCTCCATCCCTACTGAGGCGGCGGCGGGGGCCCGTGTCCCAGGCCGGTGCCTGTGAGACCTGGTGCATCCCCGAGGCCCTCCCAGGGCGCCCGGGTGCGGGAGGCTGAGGCTGGGAGCGCTCTTACTGTTTGGGGTCCTCGTTTCTAATGTTGACAGGCAGTCACTGAGGGTCTATGTTGGAGCCCCCACTTTGGGACTCAAGTCCGTAGGCCCCCGGCGGGTTTTAGCCCTTCCGGCTGGTCCTGCCCAGGTCACCCTGAGCCTTCACCTGTCCCAGGTTCTGAAGAAGTCGCTGTGCATGGTCAAGTCCCACTGGAAGGAGAAGCAGGACTACGCCTTTGCCTGCGAACAGATGAAGTCTATCCGGCAGGACCTCACGGTGAGGCGGGGGCCGGGGCGGGGGGGTGGGGGGGTTGGGGAGCGGCAGATGCGTGACGCGGCTCTGCTGTGACGCGCGCTGCCTCCCCGCCAGGTGCAGGGTGTGCGCACGGAGTTCACGGTGGAGGTGTATGAGACCCACGCGCGCATTGCCCTGGAGAAGGTGAGGCGTGGGGCCCGCCCCAGGCTTCCAGCTGCCCCTGCCCCGGGCTTCCGCGCGGCCCTCACGCCGCCCCTCACGCCCTGCCTTCCAGGCGGACCACGAAGAGTTCAACCAGTGCCAGACGCAGCTCAAGTCACTGTACGCCGAGAACCTGCCGGGCAACGTGGGCGAGTTCACCGCCTACCGCATCCTCTATTACATCTTCACTAAGAACTCGGGAGGTGAGGCACAGCCCCGCGGGACCGCGGCCCCGGGCCCTGACGTGGCCCCCCACCCCCTGACCCCGTGTCTCTGGCCGCAGACATCACCACGGAGCTGGCGTACCTGACCCGGGAGCTGAAGGCGGACCCTTGCGTGGCCCACGCGCTGGCGCTCAGGGCTGCCTGGGCTCTGGGCAACTACCACCGCTTCTTCCGGCTCTACGCTCATGCGCCCTGCATGTCCGGCTACCTCGTGGACAAGTTTGCAGACCGGGAGCGCAAGGCTGCGCTCAAGGCAATGATCAAAACGTATGTAAAGCTGATCTCCACCCTGGCCCTCCGCCCCTCCGCCCCTCCGCCCCTCCGCCCCTCCGCCCCTTCGCCCCTTCGCCCCACCCCGGCCTCAGGCCACACCCAGGCCACCCTGTCTCCTCCCCCACCTGTGCGCTCCGCCCTCATCTGGACCCGCCCCCTCTGCACAGCTGTCCCCTTCCCTCCTGCCGCTCTCTGCTCTAGGCAGCCTGCACCCCCCCGCATCGACCCCTTGTCCAGGCCCCCTTTCTCCGAGGCCTCCCACCTCCCTGGCCCTCCTGAGGCTGAGTGCCCCCGTGGGTCAGCCCCCAGAGCCGGCCCCGCCCTCGGCGCCTGTGGGCTTAGGGACTGGGCCTCGCGCCCTCGTGAGGGCTAAGATGAGTGTAGGGCCGGGTGTCACGGGAAAGCAAGGCCTGACGGCCCCCAGAGGATGCTCTCTGCCCTGGGTGACGGTGTGCTCGAATCTGTCAGGAGGGAGGCGCCCCAGGTGGGCTCAGGACACCTCTTCTTTTGTCATAGCCGGGGTTGCCTGGCTTCTAGGGCTGGAGGCCGGCGATGCGCTGAGCGTCCCGCGGTGCCCAGATCACCCCCGGCAGGGCCACCTCCTGAGGTGACAGGCTGCCAAGCCTGCTTAGAGGTCCCGGGGCCTTGGGAGTCCCGGGGCGCGGCCTGGGTGGGGACGGACACCCGCTGAAGGTTAGGAGGCTCCTTGTGGGCTGCAGTGTGGGTCAGGCGCGGTGATGGGTGGGGCCACGGAAAGACAGGCAGCGGGGCGGACTCTGCAGAGGGGGCAGGGCGTGGCTGCTGCCCGCCCGGAGCACCGAGGGGCCTGTGTCTGAAGGGGCCTGCGTCTTTGGCAGAGACCGCCCCCCGTCCCAGGGCCAGTCCTGCAGACGGCCAGGCAGGAGGGCTCCCGTGTCCCCCACCAGTGCGCCCTCAGTGGCCGTGCCCTGGAGCCGTGCTCCGCGGTGCGTTCAACTGGGAGGGCCCGCTGCTGAGAGGGCGCACGCACAGGGCTGCTGGCCCATACAGGCCCAGCCTTCTCTGACCAGGGTGAGGCAAGCAGGAGGGATGGTCCCCAGATAGGGTCAGCAGCCACCCCCCGTCCTCCCCCCGGCCGCGGTGGGCCCTCTTGTGAGGGTCTGCGCAGGCCCCCAGCCAGCAGAGGAGCCAGCTGGCCCTTCCCTCCCACCCCCTCCTCCTGCCCCCCGCTCAGGTAAGTGAGGGCGAGGGGGGGCGCAGCCGGGGCTGGGGCCCCAACCCCACCCCGGGCCCCCCCGAGCCGCTGAGGTGGGGAGGCTGCGGGTGGGAGCGGGGCTGGCAGGTAACGCGCTGAGGAAGCCTCTCGGGCGCCTGCACGGGGGCGCGCCCTCTCTGCCCGTGGGGCCCTCCCACCTCCACCGCCACCTCATCACCTTCTCCTCTTGTCTCCGTAGCTTCCGCCCAGCGCTGCCCATCTCCTACCTGCAGGCCGAGCTGGCCTTCGAGGGCGAGGCCGCCTGCCGGGCCTTCTTGGAGCCCCTGGGCCTGGCCTACACGGGCCCGGACAACTCCAGCATCGACTGCCGCCTCAGCTTGGCGCAGCTGCCGGCCTTCTGAGCACCAGCGCCGCGGGGGCGGGGGGCCGGGCTGCAGATCTTGTCTTTGAGCCATGGACTTGGGGTGTAAATTAATTCGTGGGGAGAGGGCTCCAGGAAGAGCCCTCGTCCCTGCCCCCGTTTTCCCACCGGGGAGTCTGTACAGAGATTTTTCTACGTTTTTATTTTTGGCCTCAGAGGGTCGGGCTGGGGAAGGAGGGGGTGGGCAGCGGAGGGCCGGGGGCATGGTCTGTAGGCTGGTCTGTCCGTCTGGCCCTCCACTAATGCTGTCTCAGTGTTTTTTCTCTCTCTCTCTCGAGCTCGTACTCCGGTACCAACCCAGCACCCTGGCCCGTCCCATGCCGGGGGGCAGGGCAAGAAGACAGGCCGCTCCGCCCGCGTCCGCCCACGGCGGGGGCACGTCCGCCTCCCGCCGCCCGCTCGCCGCTCCACAGACTCTTGTTGCCAGCCCTCCGGGGCCTCAGTTTTTGGGGCGAGGGGAGCCGCGTAGAGACTGTGCCCTGCCCTCGGCCCCCGAGCCCAGAAGCCGCCGCCGCCGCCGCCGCACTGAGGACTCCGGAGGCCACCGCGGGACCTCGCCGGCCGGGCCGCCTCGTCTGCAGTTGTATTGAGTTGTCTCCGTGTCCCCCTCCCCCGTGTCTCCCCTGCCCCGTCCTCCCCCTCCTCGCACTCTTCCCTCGGTTCAGCACAGGTAAAGCGGTTACCCTCCCTCCCCGCCTCATGGATCACCAGCTCACGTCATGTTTCCTTCTCTTTTCTTTTTGTGTGTGTTTATTTAAGTTATTTTTCTTCCTCCCCTTTTCTTTTCCGTCTCCCTCCCTCTTCTGCCATGTAACTGGAGGGCGCGATGAGTTGCGAACAGCTGGACTGTCAGGCTGCTTCTCTTGCAGATGTCCTCCTCTGCCTCCCTCTCCCCTCCCCCCCTTTCCTTCCTTCATTCTTTCCTTGGAGCGCTGAGCACCACTTGGAAGCTTGAGAGAAACCAAAATTAAAGAGAGAGAGAGAGAAGGCGCGTGCCTGTTGTGTCTTTGTCTGGGGCTGGGCCCTTATTTCTGGGGTTGACCTCCCGGGGGGAGCTCGGCCACGGCCTGGTAGGTGGCCCCAGCCCTGCCCATGCGGCACAGCCACAGTGTCCCCAGGGGCTGGCTCCCCAGCTCCTGCCGCAGGCTGACCTCGGGGAGGCAGACTTGGGCGCCCTGGGGCACCTTGGCCAGGGTTAGGTGGGGGCGTATCCCCCCAAGGGGCTGCAGCACTCTCAACCCCTCGGCCTCCAGCCTCTGGCTCAGCCTCTGGGCCAGGTTCTCCAGCGGTGGGGACGGGGGAGCGCAGAGCACGTGGGAGCCCAGGCGCACCAGGCGACCGAACCTCAGCCTCAGAGGGATCTCAAGCCCGGGGTCCGAGAGCGCGTGTCTGAGCGCAGTGACAGCGGCCGCTGCCTCCCCGGGGCCCGCCAGCCTCAACAGGGCCAGGGTCAGGTGCAGGGCCTCAGCCGGCACCGTGAAGGCCGCGCAAGCTGGTGCATCTCGTACCAGGTCTTCCTGGACCTTGGCCACCTGGGCCCGCAGCTCAGGCTCCGTAACCATGAGCGCCACAAAGTGCGTGGGGCGGGGGTGGCGAGGGCCCACGGCCCCGGCCACTCCTCGGTCCACAGGCCAGACCCCGGGACCCCACTCCGTTCCCATCGCAGAGAGGTCTTCCGAGGGCTTCCCTCCCCGGGTCTCCACGGCCCTGGCGGCGGTGGCAGCTGGCTGCAGCGCCCTTCTTGGCGCCATCCACGGGGAAGCTTGGCCTCCAGGGTCCACCGACTCCCGCTCCTGAGTCCTCGCTAATGCGCCTGCCAGCGTCAGGCACCCAGCTTCGGGGCTTCCCCCGTCCGAGGCCAAGGCTGCCTGGAGTCGCGTCTGGGCTGGCTGTACGGGCCCCCCCGCATCGGTGCCAAGGCGGGTGGCAGCTGCGCCGTCCAGTGCGCCTCCGGTCCCGTCCGTATCCTCACCGCCGAGCGCATCTCCGACTGAGTTGGCACCTTCGCCGTCGTGCACGTCCCCGGGCCGGTGCACGTCCACGCCGTCGCTCTCACCTCCAACTCCGTGCGCGCCCCCGCCGTCGTGCGCGTCCCCGTGTCGGCGCGCGTCCTCGCCGTCGCTCTCACCTCCGGCTTCGTGCGGGTCCTCGCCGTCGAGCGCGTCCAGGATGGTGGGCCCACGGCCGGCCGCCAAGCCGGAGCCAAAGACGAGGTCGGTGCGCGAGGCGCGGTCCCAAACCAGGCGGCCGCGGAAGCGGAAGTAGCGCACCCGGTGCTGCGGCACGGCCAGAACGCCCGGCCCGAGCGCCGCTAGCGGCTCGTCCCAGCAGAAGGAAAGGAAGGGCTCCTCGCGCACGCCCAGGAAGCGGTCCGCGTAGCCCACGGAGAAGTCGGCCGGGTCGAGGCGCGGGTCCCAGCGGATGCGCTGGATGACGGCCTCAGCCGTGCGCAGCGGCGGCTTCTTGGCCTTGGCTTGTTCGTCCTTGCTTCTAGGCTGCGGCGGCGCCGGCGCCCCGGGGTGCGGCTGGCGGCAGCGGGCGCCGAAGCGGCAGCGGCCCTCCAGGAAGAAGCGGCAGGCCGGCGGGGGCGCGGGTTCCGCCACCAGGAGCCCCGCGGGCGGCTCCGGCCCTCCGGCCGCTTCCATAGGCGTAGCGTTCGCCGGGCACGGGCCGCTCCTCGCGGGGTCAGCCCTACCCGGCCCGCCGTGACGTCACGGGCGCGGCTTCGGCCCCGGCCCGACCTGGAAAGCACCCCGCGCGCGGGCCCGCCCTGTGCCGAGCCCGGGGAAGCCCGACACCTGCGGGCGGGCGGGTTCTGTTGTGGCCCCGCCCCTACCGCGTGTGGCCCCGCCTCTCCCGGCGCATAGCCAGCGCCGCTCGGCTCCCCTAGGGTTAGCAAGCTCCGCTCGGCACTCTTGCGCCCCGGAGAACCTGGCTCCCCTCCCCCCCCCCCACGCCAAGGATCTGCGCTGCTGCCACGCCCCTCCAGGCCCCGCTCGGGCCTCGCCCTCCGCGGGAGAACCGGACTCCTGCGGGCTCAGCATGAACTTCTCAGCCCGAACTCCGGGCACCCCTGTCGGCCTCGGGGCGTCCCTTTCCTAGGGGTCCACGCCTCCTCCCGGCCACTTTTCCTGCGCGGCCGCTCCCGGGGTAAAGGGCAGCCCGCCTGGGCGGGATCCACCGGCGGTGCGGAGCTCCCGGGGTCACAGCCCTCGGCCGGCCTCCAGGAGGCGTCGGGCCGAGCCCGGGACCGCGTCCGGCTGGCAGCGGCGCGCGGCCCACTTTGCTGAAAGAACCTGTCGGTGGGAGCGTTCAAGTCGGGGCCCCGCCCCTGGCCCTCTTAAAGGGGCCGCATCCCATTACACCAGGATCATCGAGTTTCTACCTTCATGCACCCGGCGGGTACCAGAACCTCCCCGCGACACACCTGGCTCTTAGGGGCGCCGGGACCCCGTCACTCCGTCCCGTTACCGCTCCCCACGTGCAAAGTGAACAGACGAAACCCGGGACACAGACCTTGTCGGTTTATGTAGAAAGAAGTGGGGCGCTGGGCGGTAAGAGCGCAGGGAATGGGGGTCCCTACAGGCCGATGACGTCGTCCGGCTCGATGTCCGCGTTGGCGAGGCAGCGGGCCCGGGGGTGCTGCGCCCCGGGGCCGGGGTCCACGTCGGGCTTGGCCGCATTGGCGCCCGGGCGCTCCGCGTCCATGACGCCCAGCACTGCGTCCAGCATGGAGGGGCCCAAATCCAGGTGGAAGGACAGCAGCGGGTCAGCGGGCGCAGGCGCGCGGAGGGCGGGCGGCGAGGCCTGCGGCACTGCGGGCGGCGGCGCGGAGCGCGGGGCCCCCGCGGGCGGCGCCCGGGGCTCGGGGGGCGGCCCGCCGCCGTGGCGGCTCAGGAACGAGGTGTCCCCGAAGGCGTCGCCGCCGCGTCCCACGTGCAGCGTGTGCCGGAAGTCGCCGAGCGGCGCGGAGATGGACAAGGCGCCGCGCTCCGGCCGCTTCTTGGGCTGCGCGGGGCCCAACTGCTTCAGCACCGGCATCTGCGGGGTAGGGGCGGGTTAGCACGACCTCCCCCAGGGACCGCTGCCGAGGCCTGCCTGCCGCGTTCCAAGCCCTGACCTAGCCCGTGGTGCAAAGGATGCTCTAGACACGCACAGCACGACCGTGGTGGGGGGTACGGGGGTTACTCCAATTTTACAGCTGGGGAAACTGAGGCCCGAGGTCGTAGCTGCTTGATTAAAAACTCAGACTCAAATTTAGGTCTGCCTGTATGTTAACTGCACTTAGAACTAACGTTTGAGGATTTCATACTCCAGAGAACGAGCAAAACATGCTTCCCCAAGCGTGCAGACTGCTTCCCAAACTTGGCAGAAACTGCGCCCTGAACCCGGGCTCCCCCGGTGGCTCAGACAGTGAAGAATCCGCCTGCAATGCAGCAGACTCGCGTTCGATTCCTGGGTCGGGAAGATCACCTGGAGAAGGGAATGGCAACCCACTCCAGTATTCTTGCCTGGAGAATTCCGTGGACAGAGGAGCCTGGCGGGCTAAGGTCCATGGGGTCCCAAAGAGCCGGACACGACTCCACCCATAAGACAGAGCTGCCCCTGTCCTTTAGGGGGGGGAGACACGGTGCCCAGCGCCTGCCACACTTCTAGAGGCCCGCGCACAGTTTTAACATATTATTATTACCTTTCTGCACCTCTGGTCTTTAACCGAGGCCACTGGCCGCCAGATGGAGCAGGGCGGGCTCAGGCGCGGGTCTTCTCCGACGCCAGCTTCCGGGCTCACACAGCTCAGAGGAGAGCAGAGCAGACCCTCTCCGACAAGGGGAGCCCCCCACCCTGTCAACACACAAGGTGCAGAAGCCCCTTCTGAGCCGAGGGATGCTGTGTTTTGATTTATTTCAAAATGTCTGGATTGCGTTTGTCTTTATACCAACGCAGTCATAAAATATAATTATAACATATATAATTATGTCCATGAAAGCTTTGCCTGACACACACAAAAGTCATAATGTAGGCTGGCCTGAGGATTCTAATTTGGGAGGTTTAGGGTGGGCCTGCGAAATCTGTATACTTGCACATGTATGTGTGTGTGCATGTCTGTGTCCACATGCACGCTCAGTCATGTCCGACTCTTTACAGCCCCATGGACTGCAGTCAGCCAGGCTCCTCTGTCCATGGGATTCTCCAGGCAAGAACCCTGGAGTGGGTTGCCATTTCCTCCTCCAGGGGGTCTTCCCCACCCAGGGATCAAACCTGCATCTCCTGTATTTGTAGGTGGACTCTTTACCCCTGAGACCATCCCCCCCACGCCCACAGCGTTTTACACAGTGTTTTACAGTCTAATTATCTGGTTTTTAAATAAGCCACATAATATCTTACTTCTTGCTAAGAGTAACAGTAATAATAATGCAAAATTTCCTATGTCAAAACATGGCAAGAATGGTATAAATTCAAATCTGGCAGCTCATGAACTATAAACCAGGTGCCCTGTGGCCACATGACTGCACGCGGACTTGATGGTAAATAGATGTGTCCGCCAACCTTTGCCCATACCCTGGAACTTGGCTGTTTTTATGGAACTTCTGGGAGGGACTTTGATGACCTTGTACTTTTGTTTTAACAGTCACTAGTATAATAATAATAAACAGTATTTCTATTTGAATTGAAGCCCCACCTTTGTCAGCTGTAAGAACTGAGATAAATGATGTGATCGCTTGGCTTGTTTTCTATCTGAAAATGGGTAAAATAACACTACCTTCCTTGTAGGGCACACAGAAACACTCAAAGAAAACTATATTTGTAATATCACCAGTCAATTGATAGTGATAGCACTGGGGGTGGGGATGGGGGGAGAGGTATCCCCAAACAAAAGTGTGGAACAAAATTTAGATTTGATAAAATCCTCTGAAGCAGGCAAAGCATTGTCCTTTTAGTAACCACCACCCTCAGAAATGCCGTCGATAATGTGGAGAAAATTAAAGCCAAAGGATTTGAAATAATTATAGATGGCTGTGGTCTAAGGGCTGTCCACTCCCCTACTCAAACACACACACACACTTTACATTTATTTCTCTTGAAAAACCAGTCTTGCTTGACCACCTCTATATCGCTTCTCAAAACTTCCTAACCTCCACCCAGGTGAATAAATATATTGTACTGCAATCTGAAACACAATCACCATTCTTTCCCCACCCCACCCAGTATATAAGGGAAACAACATTTTATTAAATGAGACTACTCAGCACATGCTAGGCACTTAGATAGTTTCAATTATAATCTATATTATCATTATTATTTTGGCCGTGCTATGCAGGACCTTAGTTCCCCAACCAGGTATCGAACCCACACCCCCTGCAGTGGGAGCCCAGAGTCCTAACCACTGGACCACCAGGGAATTCCCTGTTAGTCTTTTTTAACGCTGACCTCTGTTCATTAACGAATCTCAATCCACAGTTAAAAAAAAAAAAAAAATTCTGTCTCAGAGCTAGCAGCGCCCCGTCTCATTGAGCTGCCTTGAATTATATAGGCGAAAAAAGCAGAACTCAGAAAGCCAGCTGCCCAGACTTGGATCTGACTGTGCACATTGCTGGCTTGCTTTGGACAAATTACTTACCCTTTCTGACCTCACTTCCTCATCTCAAAAATGGAATGGTACTCATAGGATAGTTCATAGTCTCTTTGCAAGGAGTGAGGGGGAATTCCCTGGCAGTCTGGTGGTGAGGACTATGAGCTTTCACTGCCAAGGGCACTGGTTCAGTCCCTGTTTAGGGAACTAAGACCCTGTTAGCCAATCAGTGCAACCAAAAAAAACAAAAAGAATTGGTGAGATATTGCCCTGGGGAAAGTCTTGGCATGGTAGCCAGTACACAGAAAATGCTGTGTGCTCCGTGGTCCAACCTTAGATTATCCTCGCCTGTCCCAGGGAAGGAAACAGAAGCTCAGAGAGGGTACGTGACTTGCCCAAGGTCACAAAGCAGCTCTGCGGGCCTCCAGAGCCCAGAGGTACACCTTCCACTGACAGCAGCCCCGGGCACTGGCCCTCCCTGGACAGCTCTCCGCCACTGCTTCCTCTCCCTGCCCACCCCCACCTTACCCTCCTCCCGTCCTCCCACTCTACAGGGTGATAGTGCTGCCATTTTCCAGCATTTAGCAGCTCCCGGTCTCTGGAAATTCCCTGGTGGTCCAGTCATTCGGACTCTGCACTTGCACTGTGGACGACATGGGTCCCATCCTGGATCCAGGGAACCAAGATCCCATAAGCCATGCAGCCAGAAGCGGTGGGGGGGGGGGGGGACACACTTGTTTTTTGACACCGAACACACCTGGAACTTTCTCAACCTCACACCTCAGTTTGCTCCCCTGAAAACTGGGAAGTCAGAATGCCTGTTTGCAAGGGGCTGTCCTAGAGCGTACTCATGGTGCTGACATTGTTTCCCAAGCACTTATCCTGGGCCAGGCAGGGGTCCAAGCGCTTGGGGCACATGAAGGAACTCATGTAGTCAGAGTAACAGCCCTATGCGGGGAGCACTCTGCTATTCTGTTCCTTTTAGAGATGTGGGTGACAGCTTGAGGCACAGAGAGGTGAGGTAACTGGCCGCGGGTCACACAGCAGCAACTACTGCCTGAATCTGGATCACAGGCAGATGAACCCCGGAGTTGGAAGGGTATTATATAGATCACGGTCCCCAAAGGGTAGGGCGTGCAGACCCGTGGGAAAATAATAATAATGCTTTCATAACAAGGCCAGGGACCTACACCCTTGACCCTGTTTGTTCGCTTTTCTTTTTTTACGTTCCAGGTGAGAACAACCGGTTAGAAATTGTTTTTGAAAGCCACCGCTCCTCCTGACTAGTTCTGAGAACTCGGGGTGACCGGGGGTGGGCTGGAGTGGGGTGGAGGGGGTGTGGGGAGCGGTCCGTCCACCTCCCTGAGCCTCGGTGTCCCCTGAAATAGAAGGCCCGAATCCCCCTTGTGTGTCTGATGCAATGAGGTCATGCTCGGAAAAAGCCGGTGGCGGGGCCAACTCAGCACAGAGGGGCTGTTGTGTGTGACGACCTCCGGCCGGGCAGAGAGCAGGAGCCGCGACCCTGGACCCGCGCGCCCCTCCTCCCGCCTCCACGCGCCCCCCCTTTCCTGCCGAGGCTCCAGCTGCAGGGGGGGTGGGGGGTGGGGACGCACAGCTGGCTCTGCTCCGTCCTCTCCGGGCCCCAGCCCGCCCTACATCCAGCCTGGCTGGCTCTCAGCCCCATGGGAGAGGCGACCAGGGGGGCGGCACCCGGACGGCGCAGAGGGACCGGGTACCGGGACCCCACCCCGACCCCCTTGGGGCTCCAGAGCGCGCTTCCTGAGGCCACGTGGCTGCGGCCCGGGCTTCAGCGGCCGCCGTCCCTTCGGCCGTCTTCCCTGCTCCCCTCTGGACTTGCCTGGGGACCCCGGGGCCGCCAGTGCCCCCCCTTACCTCGCGGTCCTCGCCGAACCGGGCGGGCGCGCTCTCAGGCTCCTGCACCGCCCGGGACCCGCTCCTCTCGGTTCGGGGCCCGCCTCCGCCTCCTGGTCCCAGGCCCGCGCCTCCCTCCGCCTTCCTCCGGGCGGGATCTCACCTGCGAAGGGCCCGTCAGGCGGAACCTGGAGGGGCACTCACGACCCGGGCGGCCGGCCCGCAGCGCCCCCTCCTTCTCTTCTGGGTCCCGGGAGCCCTGGCTCCTAGTTCAGTTCCTCCTCGGCCTCAGGACGCGAGGAGGTCCCAGACCCACCCCCCCCCTCTCACCGCACCCCGCCGGCCTCCCCTCCACCAGCCTCGGGAGTCTGAGCCCCACGCCCGCCGCCAGACCCTGCCACCGGGTCCCCTCTTTACCTGCACCGGGAACGGAAGCGTCAGCCCCTCTCGGGGGCCATGATGGGAGCCCAGAGGGGCGCAGAGTCCCCGCCCAGTCCAGCTCGGCCTGTCTGGGGCCGAGAGGGTTAAGGCAGTAGGCCCCTCCCAGGCCTCCCTTATTCCCCCCTGCTCCCCACCCCCCCCAAAAAAGTTGGCCTCT